AAACAAAACCCAGGATCGGCTTTATGGATAGCTTTGTCCGTCCCATCTGCCAAAGGAACTTGAGGAATGTTGTTAATAAAAGACAACCCGTGCTAATAAAAATACACTTCATGGTCTTTAAATTTTGATACTTAAAATCGACAGCCCTGAGTAGCCTCGTGGGGGAAAGAGAAGCAGCGATAGCTTCAGTGTTTGTCATGAAAAGTCATTCTGGAAGATAAAAGCCCTGTTTTTCATGGAAGGCGACTTCCAGAAAAAGAATGGGGGATTTATCTATTTCTGATAACATTTTACCTTCTCAGCTGCTCACCCGTCAGTCTAATCTATCTATTTCTGCCTTAATCTACCTAATCTAATCCGTCAATCTAATCTATCTGTTTCTAAAGAAAAACAAATGTGGAATTGTATGCATATTAGGTTGTGCATATTATATTGTCGCCCAAATTAGGTGTTTCCAAATATATTATTTTTCACAATAGATTTGAACATATTCTTTCAAAAGACACCTTTCTAAATATCCATACATGTATACGGAAAGGCAGCCGCCTTGAATTTAATTTACAGTCAGCACTCATTATCTTTGTTGACTTGAGAATTTTCTGGAAATTTTTGGAAAGCAGAAGGAATATGGATAGCTTAGCTATGATTCGGTAGGTCCAATTAATTTGGAAGTGGGAAAAATTGAAAATACAACTCACTATGAAAAATTTTCAGTTGCAGTTATAAGACTTTTCAATTGAATATTATACTCTTTGTCAATGTATTTTTTTTGTCTCAAAAATATTCAATTAAATTCAAAATGCTTAAAGATTAACTTTGTTGGCCTACATTTCAAAATCTGATGAAGGAAAGAACATTGCTTTCTGGACTAATGAACAGATCAATCTAACATACTTTTGATTTTGCGGGTCTTTGAACTTTACAATGAACTTTTAAAAATGCCAAAATGAATATTATTTTAGTGTCTATTAATATATGATACTCTTATAAAGGCTTTTTAAAAAAAATATAGATGCATATTTTGGAAGAAAAGCATAATCAAATATTTATTTAAATAGAATTATTGTGTTCTTTTTAAAATCCAGAAGTAGGATAAAACAGATTTATAAACAAATAGACATGAAATGTTTCTACCAAAGGATCATTGGTAAGGTTTGACCATCAAGTGCTAAGGCAAGAATCTTCCATGTGTTTTGATTCCAACAGCATTCCAATGATCAGAAATTATAGAAATTGTAGTCCAAACTTAATTCTATATTATACTAGTTCAATACCCATGCTTCGCTACAAAACTATGTGGTCAGGCTTAGTTTTTGGGGAGGAAAATAAGGGGGAAAAATTCTGCCTCTGCCTGCCAGCATTCATCGGTATTCATCTGGTTAGCATCCTGTCAGTGTGTGTGAGAGTTGAGGGCTGTTTGGAAAGTGAAACAGTATTTGCTGCATAACAAAAAAACAGCAAGGAGCCTGGGTGTGGCTTAGCTCAACTAAGTGCTGTGAAACTTGGTGCTGTGAAACTGAAACGGAAACTCCTCTCCTCTGCTTGTGTTTTTCATTTGGAACAGATTTCTCTTCAGGTAGCGAGGGGGAGTAAAACTCCTTAGCATCAGAGCGTGTTAATAATAATAATATAGAAAATACTAATGCTCTGATGGTAATTTTGAAAAATCCTTTCTCAGTGAGCACCTAGAAGCCAAGATTTCAAGTTTGTAGGCTTTCATAGCCCTATCACATATGAAGAAAATAAAATAAAATAAAAATAAATAAATAAATAAATAAATGAAGGGATGTGATGGCTCAGTGGCTAAGATGCTGAGCTTCTCAATCAGAAAGGTCAGAAGTTCAGTGGCTCGAATCCCTAGTGTCGCATAATGAAGTCAGCTCCTGTTACTTGTCCCAGCTTCTGCCAACCTAGCAGTTCGAAAGCATGTAAAAATGCAAGTAGAAAATTAGGGACCCCTTTGGTGGGAAGATAACAGCGTTCCGTGTGCCTTCGGCATTTAATCATGCCAGCCACATGACCATGGAGACGTCTTCGGACAGCGCTGGCTCTTCGACTTTGTAACAGAGATGAGCACTATCCCCTAGAGATAGAAATGACTAGCAAGTATGCGCGAGGGGAACCTTTACATTTACCTCTACCTGTGCATTTTCATGCTTGTGGTCTACCCAAAAAACCAGATTGCTAAAATTCTGTCTAAAGTACACGATTGTTGTTGGGTAATTTTGCTTTCTGAATTTGAGTGGAGCCCGTGCAAAGTAAATTTGAAGTCAAATTTTATGTAGGTATAAAATAGACATATTTAGTATTGCCCGACCAAGTGAACATCTAGTTGGCCTTAGTTGATCTCAAGGACCTAATTTGTATTTGGAGTGGTCTACAAGAGCTTTAGACAAGATTAAAATAAAAAGAAAAGTATTTTAGTATTTTATTTTTAATGCCCTACAATCACCAGAAACTGAACTTGATTTGAAGGAAAGCTAGGTCTTTAAAATGTTGAATTAAAAACGTGTGACAGATGTTCTATATTGTATGTTGTATTGCAACAAGTATCCTGAACTTGGATTTACTTGAGAGCATTGCTGTTTAAGTGACTTTGTTCTCTCCATGGATGATTCTTGATCATCAGTTCTCTTTCTTCAAGAGAAGAACACGAGAGAGAGATTGTGGATTCTTGTCAGCTGCTGCTCCATTCGAAATCCAAGAAAGAAATACTTAGACTCCGTTAATCAAAGAAAAGATATCTTTTACTGGAAATCAAGTGGTAGCAACAAAAGAATTCGGAATCTGAGAAAATGGGCATGTAAATCACATATACAAAATAATGGCAACGTTCCCACTCCCAATAGTTCAATTGGCTCATCCAATTAAAAGTTGTGAATATCATCATGTGGGCATCTCCAGGTGGTGATGAGGCTTCTGTCCATTGACCTTGACATAGTTTGATAAAGGTTTGCAGCTGCACATAGCATAGAAGAGAAGCTAAGCAAGGAATAGAAACCTAAGCAAGAATGTACTCCCCCCCCCCCAGTTTATACAGTTCTGGTTTGTAACACCTCCAGCTCACTTTCCATAATTTTTCCCCCTCCTCCCCCCGTTACTTATGACAGCTGAAAGATGCAAAGCAAAGGGAGAAAATCTTGAAGGCTGACATTTGGCCCTCCTAGAAAAAAGAAGTTAGTCCTATAAAAGAAGAAAACATAGAAGGTAATCGTCAATATACAGGTAACATCAAAATACTCATATTTTTAGGGTTTATCGGGATATTTAGTACGAAATGCTTTGACAAGTGTAGGAACTCTAACATCCTTTTCATTGACCCACTCAGCTTGGGAAGAAGGAAAATGTTTCCAAGCAACTAAATATTGGAGTCGACCCCTCCATTTCCGAGAATCCATATGGCTCCAGACTTGTGCCACAAAAAATCCTAACTCCTTGGGATCCCCCCCATATTTTACTTCCAATGGAGGCACCTTTGGAGTTCTACGTCTTCTGGCAATTACTCCTCCTGCTGGGGGGCCCTGGGCTGCTGCTGCCTGTTGCGCTAGCCCGGGTTGATTTATGGGGGTGGCTGCTCTGCTTCTTCTGGCTGGGGCTGCCTCCCCCTTCTCTCCCTCATACCTTTGTTCAGTTTGAGGTTCTCCGATAGCTTCATTTAGAAGATGCATGGCTTGAGTTAGTAAGAAACTCTTCCTTTCCTTCTCTTGCCATGACTCCTCTCTTCCACGCCGACGGGTAGTGGTCACTCCTTTCCTGAGGCTTTTCCTCAGGATCCTTCCAGCCGACTCCCAGGGACCACTTGGGTTTTACAGCTGGTTTTCCCCCAAGATTTAGTTCTGCTAACAAGTCAGCTTCCCTTGCTTCCTCTAGCAGCAGAGAATCTTGTCCTCCAGTTGCTCCCAGTTCTTCTTGGTCACTGGCTGGACTTGACATGATGTTCAGACCCCCTCGGAAGAAAATGTATTATCTCTCCGGGTGGGCTGGTAATGTGAGATTCAGAATAATGTCAGCTGCTGCTCCATTCAAAAGGGAGAAAATCTTGAAGGCTGACATTTCCTGTTCTACTTGCGAGAAATGCTTGCCAGCATCTGTCCACATTGGATTGAATGCTTAAGAAAGAGGTACCAATACACATAACATATGCTACGGTGAGCCTGGAAAGCAAAATCAAATTCCTTTCTACCTTCTGGAAAGTTGCACCCTATTTAAATAAAGAGGTGGGGAAAGAAGCGTTGAACTTGTTCCTTTGCCTCAGAGATAAAGCAGAATGCCATGCCCTTTGTGCAGACTGACTCTGAGGGGGAGGAGGAACAGCCGACAGGGAGTGGAAGTGGGGCTCCGGAGGTTGTGGAGGAGGCTGGGGAAGGGCAGAGGCCGGCTGGGCAGTCAGAGGAGGACCCAGGCCCATCCCCTCTCCATCTTAGGGCACGCAGGGAGGAGAGGATAAGGTAGAGATGTGGTCTACTGGGGAGGAGAGGGCCTTGATCCTCTTCATGGGCTGCAGCTGTGACAACTGGATAAGAAGACGGACATGCGTACAGGCGAGTGCTGGAAACAAAGTGTGGAAATATCTCTAATTTATTGTTCCTCTCTGAGTTTGGCGTCCTTCTCAGTGTGTGTTCTGATATTTGTGGACATCTTCCAGCCTTTATCTTGCCTGGTTTGTGTTGTTTTTTATTCTTTATAATTTAAACAGCATTTCCTCCTTCTTGTAACTGCTTGTGTGGGAGTTTTTTTTGTCTCCAGTCAAGGATATTTGGAGCTTGAAAGCAAAATAAAGGAATAAAAGGGGCTTCACCTGTTTTTTGTGACTGTGTTTATTTTGTATCCCACCTTGGGTCATCACACAGAAAACCTAGTCTAATCTAGGCCATGAGAGACGGAATACAAGATTGAAGGAAACTCAGCTTTTATACTCATTGTTTTTATTCCCATCCCCTGTAAGGGTTCGCATTAGATACATCACAGTAAACTTCTTCGTTTCTCTTTCTTTGCTGCAGGTGTTCTGGGGAAATGCCGCTATGTCTACTATGGGAAGCATTCAGAAGGCAACCGATTCATTCGTGATGACCAACTTTGAGACCAAGAGGTCTGCAATGCTCTAGTTGTTGGCATGTGCTACCCACACATCTTCCATCTGCAGCTCAACCCATGTAGAGGTACACACATCATACCCGCACACAGTCACCCATGGCATTCGATTGGTCGAAGGGAAAGAAAGAGAAAGTGTAAATCAGTCCTCCACTATCTCAGGCTGACTTTGCCAGGCCTGTCATAAAGCATCCTTCTGCTTGAGCCTGAGTAGACACATAGATGTTGACAGGATTGCCTCTAAGCAGGTTCCATCTTACCCCGGTGACAGACGGCTGCGGCAAAGCACCAGACCTGACAGCAGGGACACCATGATGGATTGCCTGACCCAAATGTTGCTTACAAAAGAGCAAAAGGTCACACCTGGGCCTTGCTGAGCATGCTCCGATGGTCTGAAGAGAAGCATCTCCTTCTGGCTTGCAGCTTGTTGAGTGTGAAATCTACATGTCTGTCCAAAGAGTAATAGTGCAATAGGAGCAATTAAAGGGCATCACTTTCTTATCCAACTTTATTTTCCACAACAATTAAATATTTCAGGCGGGTTGTGTGCTGCTTGTAGAGAAAAATAAACATGGTTTAACTCTAAGATCTGGAAGAGTGGTTTCTTGAGAAATGGGGGGGGGGGGTTTTGGTTTTTTTTTTGCGGGGTGTTGAAGCATTACCGGAAGGAATTTGGGAAGTTTAAAATTTGCGGAACTATTTATATCTCAACCTTCTGCTTTTGGTGAGAACAACACTTGAGGGTGCTTGAGAGTCCAGGGGTATCCACAGAAGTGAGGTCAAAAAAAAAAAAGTCAAGAATGAGGCTGTTACCACATAAAAGACCCACCTCCAATTTACATGCAAAGCCGTCTTCTAGGTGACGTGATCTTTCTCTTTCTTTTTAACAATTCCCCCAACTTCAATGATGGCTCCAATTCTGTAAAACAATCTAGGCAAAATCGCTGTTAGGAAACCATGAGTTTTGTCAAATCACGCACAAGGAATCTCGGCACCCTGCTACTTTCCTCCCTTTATCCCTCATGGCCTTCATGGAGTTTTCTCGGCACCCTGCTACTTTCCTCCCTTTATCCCTCATGGCCTTCATAGAGTTTTCTCGGCACCCTGCTACTTTCCTCCCTTTATCCCTCATGGGTCTCGGCACCCTGCTACTTTCCTCCCTTTATCCCTCATGGCCTTCATGGATTTTTCTGGAATTTCAGGGAACACATGGTAAATTTATTATTAGATGGTACCACAAGTGAGAACTGGAGGAGAGTACACTAAGCCCTTTCCACCTACACCCATAGCTTTACTTTGATACCTAATTGTGTCCTTAGTGCATAGCCTAGACAGAGTGAGTATATATATATGTTGACAGTTGGAGATTCTCATAGTGAGATCCAAGCTGGAAATGAGGAATTTCCTGATAGTGAGTCCTATTAACTAATGGAATAGATTACATCCCAGAGCTGTGAGTGCTCCATTACTGGAAGTTTTCAAGAAAAGAATGGGCACCATCTTGTCCAGGATGGTACAACTATTTATCCAGGATGGTATAAGGATTTATGCCTCAAGTTCATAGGTTCTTAAGTCCTTTCCAGCCCTATGAATCTATGATTAGGTCAAGGCTCATCTTGTTCCACCATATTGCTTCTCTTTATGGCCCGCCAGATGCCCTCTGCGATGGGTCTAGGATAACTTGTATTGGCCAGCTTACCACAGCCAACTCAGTGTGGCCAACTTGCTGTGTGGCCAACTTGCCACAGCCAACTTGCCACAGGCCAACTTGTCGCAGGACAAGAGTTACACTAATATCAAAGAAATAGTTAAATAGAATCATTAAAGAAAGGATGCCAAAGGAGGGACAAAATAAAATGCGAAGGACAAAAATTAAACTAATTTTGAAATTAGTTTAAATAATTAATTTAATTGTTTGAACTGTCCTGCAGTGAGTTGTCCCATGCCGAGTTGGCTACGGCAAATTGGCTGCACAAGTTGTTCCATTCCTCTATGGGATTTTGGAGATGTACCCCTCTCATTTTTTCACTGCAACTTCCATTTAAGAGTCATGGTGCCTCCAACATAACACTGAATTGTCAAGAGCAATAGCTCCCGATGAGTCAGTTCATCATAAATTTAGCCATTTCCTTTTTCAAAACCAAAATGAATTATCCATGTAATAAATTTCACAGTTGAACTATGTGCTGTTCGAAGAAATGTGTTGTGCTGGCTGTCCTAAATCTTGGAATTGGTTTCATTAGATGCTTCTGCTCCTTGCATTTTGAGAAAATGAAGTGCTCTTTCTTTACATATTCCCCTTGACCATGTCCCCACTCAGTTGCCTTCCCCCCTCCAAGCTAAATCCTCCACATGGAAGCATTTTATGCAACAGATCATGAATTGATTAGAAAGGAATTGCCTTGTAATTGAGTTTAATGACCAATTAATTGATCTCAAATAAGATTTCCATGAGTTGAATCTAGAAGAATCTGCTTTGAAAACTGGTTAATGGAGATTAAGTTTAGGCTGAGGCTGAGCATTAGAGGATACCAGCTCTGGAAAAGTAATGCTTACAGGATGGATTGGATGAAGTTATGAACACTCAAGCAAACTGTTAGTCATGATTATTTACATTTCATTGGTGATTTTGCTGCATAAGTACACATTTTGGTCCAGAATGGAACAACTTGCCATAGACAACACTGCTGAGGCTAACTCACCATGGCCAACTTGCCCTAGGGACAACTCACTGCAGGACAATTTAACAATCCTATTTAAATATTTAAAAAAAATAAAAAAAAATAATTAAACTGTCATTCCCATTTCATTGTATCCCTCCTTTTGCATCCTTTTGGGTTTGTCACCAGAATCAGAGATTTACACTTCTGAGCTTCCATTGCAAATGGGCACTGCATACTGCCCAGAGGCTAACATACGAGGGCAAATTATGCACTGTAAAGATTATTTGGTGGTGGTGGATGCTTCCAATGTAATCTACAAGATCGCCTACATGATTTGCCCCTGTGACTATGTAGGACAGATGGGGAGGAAGCTAACCCCCAGATTGCAAGAACACAAGCTAGCAGTCAGACGAGGAGACTCAAAGACTGCAATGAACAAGGACACACATTCAATTTTGCAGCTACTAAGATTGTTGGATGAGCAGGTACAAAAACAGCCAGGAAAATGATTGAAGCCTGTGAAACGGGCCCCTTGTCAGTTAACAAGAGTGCTGAATTACCACAAGCTTAGGAGCTGCGGGCTTGGCAGTACAAGGAAACGACAGCCAATTGCCAATCATCCGCACACCAATCCGCCAATAGAAAGGCACCACATAAACACAACTCACAAAGCAGCCCAAAGCACATATTCCAGTAGAGCCCAAAGCACATAGTTCCAGCATGAGTCCAAAAGCTCAGAAGAGTAAACCTCTGGTCCCAGTGACTGACCCAAATTCGATCTCACTCTTCATACTCTTCACTCATCTCCCCAGAACACACACACACACCAGCCACCCCCAGCAACACCCCCATCACCACAGTGGTGGGATTCAACCAGTGTAACAAATGGTTTGGTGCAGTGATGCAGTTCAAAAAAATTGTACCACCGTTTTTGTGGACATGGCTTGGTGGGCACGCTTTGTGCATGCGCACACATTTTGTGCACGTGCGCCAAACGCACACTTTGCGCAGTCACAGAGGCGTTTTGACTCACCTCCTGCAATCCTGAACTCTCCCTGTTGCTTCAGCAGCTGCCGCGCGGCAATTGCTGTGCCGCGCAAAGCAGCTGCACTTCAAAAGCAGGACATAAAGGTTAGTATGGGAGCCCGGGCAGGCGGGCCCAACACAGAGCATCAAAGAGAACGGTCCAGTCTCCGCTGTTCATCGCTGCTACCGGCTCAGCAGAACTGGGCCGAACCGATAGGATACCACCACTGGTTTGGTGAGCGCGCACAGCATTTGAAAACTGCCCATTTTCAGCTCTAAAACTTACTTTGTGTTGCAGCCCCGGTGAGTAAAACAGCTGAGACATGGCAAAAGCGCTCTGACATGCAAATCAGCTGAACTGCAAAACATGGAAATATAGGACAGACTAGGGCAGGGGTGAGTGGGCAGGACCAACTAATCGCCGGGACTACTGGTTCGCTCGAACTGGTCCAAACTGGCTGAATCCCACTCCTGCATCACTATGATGAAGCAGGCCAGGAGAACTTGGGGAAAGGGAGCACGTTTCATTCTTTATTTCACAGTTTTTCCAAGGGCTTCTTGTTTTATTGCAAGCTACACTGATGACCTATTGTCAGAGGGGAGGCAAAGGGGGTGGAAAAAAGCAGAAAAGTTCTTTGAATGACAGCATAAAATCAGGTGACTTTCTTTCAAAAGTGGGGGGAAATGAATGATGGGGTTGAGATGATGCTACAGCAAAAACAATTTATGTAGCTGCGGTGAAGCACATCAAGAGATAAAGATTGATAACAACCTGCCTGGTTTGAATGATACATGCCAATCATGAAATTAGTTTTTCCCTTCTTTCCTGGGCTACAATTTCCCCTGGAAAAATGATCCCTCTAGCCTTTTGCTTTGCCTGATTGTGATGAAGGGGAATAGGAGTAAATATGACATGTAATAGAGCTCATAAAAGATTGGCATTGTTCCTAACCCTTGCTTCCCCACAAATCTGTCACTTCAAGCTTAAGATGGTGTTTCCAGAATCTGAGTAACATTGATGGCATTTCCAGAGAAGAAGAATATTCTAGTGATAGGAGCCCATTTGTCTGCTCAAAATTGTCTTCTTGGGCCACTGATTGCTGATTAGGAAAATAATTGGATCTACAGACTTTAAAACTTGAACTCCTGTGTCTAGATTACCAGAATAACAGAGTTGGACGGGACCTTGGAGGTCATGTAGTCCAATCGTCCACCCAAGCAGGTGACCCTACACCATTTCTGACAGTTGGCACTCCAGTCTCTTCTTGAAAGCCTCCAGGGATGAAGCTCCCACAACTTCTGAAGTCAGCTTCTGTTCCATGGGTTGATTGTTCTCACTGTCAGAAAATTCCTCCTTACTTCTAAGTTGAATCTCTCCTTGATCAGTATCCATCCGTTATTCCTTGTCTGGCCTTCAGGTGCCTTGGAAAATAGCTTGACCCCTTCCTCCTCTCTGTGGCAGCCCTTCCAATACTGGAAGACTGTTATCTTGTCTCCCCTGGTCCTTCCCTTCACTAGACTAGCCATGCCCAGTTCCTGCAACCGTCCTTCGTATGTTTTAACCTCCAGTCCCCTAATTATCTTGGTTGCTCTTCTCTGCATTCTTTCTAGAGTCTCAACAGCTTTATTCCTTATGCCATCTATCTTGTAAATTCACAGGATTCTTTTTTAGGGGGCCATGTATATGTGTACATTCGTACAGGGGTGGGATACGACAGGGTTAACTACAGGTTCGGGATTTATGAGCTTCCCTGCACGCTGTGAGACGCGCGCCTGTAAATCGTCATCAGCCTGCTGTGTGCAGAGAAGCAGCCTTTGAAGCAGCCCTCTTTTCCTGCTTTTTAAAC